AAAAAAAAAAAAAAAAAAAAAAAAAAAAAAAAAAAAAAAAAAAAAAAAAAAAAAAAAAAAAAAAAAAAAAAAAAAAAAAAAAAAAAAAAAAAAAAAAAAAAAAAAAAAAAAAAAATAAAAAAAAAAAAAAAAAAAAAAAGGGGGGGGGGGGGGGGATGTATTGATATAGTCGATGCATTGATGTTTTTTTGTAAAATATCGAAAGGATGATAAAACTAGTTAATTTTACAAAAACTCAAGTTTGAACGGAGCACTATAATTTAAAAGTAAAATAAATTGATTCAGCAGTACAAGATTACATACGATTAAAAAGACAACAAAAATACTGCAATGTGCTACTGAAAAGGCATACACTCAGCATTTATCAAAAATCACCTAAAAATATCAAAACGAGATTAAGTTAATTTCGATTTTGATTATTCTAAAACGTTAATTTGTGTTTATAATTTCTATTGTTTATTTTTAATTAAAAAAACCATGAAAAATAAAATATTTAGGGTGTTTATTTTGAAATTAATTCAAAAATTAGGAAAAAATCGATTAATAAAAAAATCGATTATTTTTTTTAGAAAAATCGATTTTTTATGCTAATAATATAATCGATTAATAAAAAATCGATTTTTTTTTTATGCAGAATGTCACATCCCTATCACAAAGTATTTGTACGATGGATAGTTTAGGAGATATAGCCAGAAACGTGTCATCCCCCTTTTTCAAAGACGGCCGGGGGACAAGGGCGCCAACCCCACAAACTTAGGTTTAAGCTTGTATTGACCCTGCCTACATGTCCCATGAATAAAATTGCGTCCTCTAACAAAATAATGTTCACTTTGGCCCTCAAATTGTAACATTTCAATGAAATCAACAATATAATATTTTTATTTTTTAATATTATGTCAATAGATAATATAATAATTTGCAACGTTGACGTTGATTGCAGATTGACATTGACCTACAAGTAATACACAGGGCACTGACAATTGACAAGTAAGTATCAAACAGCCCGCCAAAATGCGGAATGTCAAATACAAATAAGATTTAAAGTTTCGTTATTTCATTTTTTATGTAATTATTATAATTTATAACGTTAATCTACATAAAACATCTTGGAACATTAAAAAAAGAGTGTTTTATTTATCGCAGAGTAAATATTTTGTCGAAATTATATAAACTACTATAGTAATCTTTATAAGATTGATTCATAATGTGGAACGGTATGTATCTTCAAATGCGTTGTCAATTTTTAACTGAAATCATCAATCTGTACGTGTTATGTTTTTGTAGATCAATCCGTTGCCGGCGGCGGATTTTTTAATTCTACCAATCAATTTGCGAATGCTGCAGCAACACCTAACCAAGGCCAAAAAAGTGTATGTGTAAAATTATAACTATAAAGCTTTTTTAGTTATAATAGTTTATTTAATTAAGTGTAATAGTATAAAATTTTAATCATTTTGATCAAAAAAATGGCAAATCCTATTTTTACTTGCTTTAGTTAATCTTGAGTAATGTTAAATAATTCAATAATATGTTATTGGAGTTTGAAGGAATGAATGGTTTGTAATAATAATGAAAGCCTTTATTGCTGTAATTACTTATACTAGTACATAAAAATGTGAAATACTAAAAAAATTTCACTAAAAATAAAAACTTATAATAATTGGCAAGCCGGTTGATTTCTGTTATACAGCTTGTCCTTGGACAAAGGCCTCCTCTAAGGGATTCCACTCTTCTCTGTTTCTAGCTTTACATAGCCACATAGGGCCGGCTACTCTTCGCACATCATCTTCCCATCTTTTTATTTGTCTTCCTCGTTTTATGAATGAATGGTTTAACAGATATTAAAATCTGATTTATGTATTACATTTAATTTTAACAAAAAAATATTTTGAGTTACAGGGCCGTAGATCATCACGGACAGCTCCCATAGTTATTAAGCAAGCCTTACACAGTGGAGATGAGGGTGTTAAAATATGGGGAACAGAGGTTCAAATTGTTTCCATTGTTGCTAGAGTAAGAAACATCAGAATACAAAGTACAAAGATAACATATACAATCCAAGACATAACCGGTAGGATGAAAGCAGTTCTTTGGTTAGATCAAGAAGCTATGGATGAAGATGTGAGTATTGTTTTATGTAGTAGATTTGAGATATTTGTGCTAATTTTGTTGGCACCTCTATTAATAATTGATTTTAATCTAATTAAATACAAATTCTTATTTCTTGATATAGTAATGTAAGAATAACAATTTTTATTTATAGGATAAGTCTGCACCTAAAGTTCAAGTAAATGATTATGTTCAAATATTTGGAAATGTAAAAACAAATAAGGGCAAAAAAGTTTTAATGGCTTTTAAGATAATGCCTGTTGAAGATGTAAATCTAATAACATTTCATTACCTGCAATGTATTCACAATAAACTCAAAATGGAGGCAGATTCTAAGAAGGTAATGTGACTCAAGTAATTGCAGATGAATGTGATACTTCATGCTAGTCTGTATCTTATATTTAGTTTTTATGTATGATTTTGAATATACATTTATATTTTTAGTTAAAATGATACAGAAATTAATGCTATTTAATACAATTTCAGGAAAAACCAGTAGAAACATCAACATTTGTAAGCAATGTACCAGCTAACTCCTTAATGGGAATGGATAATGGTTCTGTTAATGGCTTGAATCCACGTCAAATGATGGTTTATAACCTTATCAGAGCATCTACACTTGAACAAGGAATTAGTAAACAAGATATATATTCAACACTTAAGGATAAAATGCCAAGTGTTGAGTTTGAGTAAGTATCAATTATGGTATGGTTATGGTTGGTGGACACAGTTTCCGCACTTAGACTCTCACTATGTATCAATAAATTAAAATAAATATTTTTAATGACTTAACTGTCTGGCTTTACATAGTAGCCTATCTATGTTTAACAGGTGAATTGTGTAAATGTTATTAATACTACTGTCTTATACAAACAATATGAATTAAGTTACCATTTTAGTAATTATATCATAATTAAATGTTCATTACAGGAATATACTAGAATGGATGTGTAATGAAGGTCACATTTATTCAACAATTGATGAAGAACACTTCCGTGCCACAGATGCCTTTTAGATTGTTTTCATAAATTAAAACAAATTTTCCTTATAATTTTTTTTATTAAATAAATAAATATAGAAATGAACCTGTGTACCTGTTTGTGAATAAGGTAATAAAGCATAAATAAATAAAACATTGGAAAATTCCAACAAAACAAAGAAATATAGTTAAACTTATTTTTGATCATATTTCTTTAAATAAAAATATTATGTATGTACAATTACCACATATCTTTAGATGATAGGTAATACACTTACAAGTATATAATTCGTTAAAATAATAATATCTTGTTCATTTTTATAAATGATCTATTATGTAATTAAAATTCAATTCTGCAAAGATTTTATCTATATCAGGTAAAACTCCTCAAATTGCTGTATAAAAATTTCTCATCTCTCATAAATTCATTTAAAATATATACTGAAACATATAAACTGTAAGGTACCAGAAAACTACACAATTTGCCAAGAAAGTATATTAATGATAAGTTGATATAACACTCATACTATTCAGATCTACAATTCATCTCTTACTGCTGTGTTTTTAACATCCGGAAACTTCCCATCATATGTTTGACTTTCTAACTGAACATTCTTTAATTCATTTTGTTCTATTAGATATTCTTTTGCTGTCCAAGCTTGAGAGCCATCCTTGAACATAAATATAGCTCGATCATCATCTATAAGATACCTGCAAAAAGTTTTAATCTTAAGACAGGTGTCCGTAGCACTAAAAAGCAACAATTTCCAGGCGACCAATGGTAAGAAAGTGCTTGAAATTAAATATCTTAATTTTACTAGCAACATATAATGTATGAATATATATATAGGTACATAGATACCTTTCAGCTTGTATATGATTACTCCATAAACCAGTTTGCCAAATCTTAGTTAATTCTTCAGTCCTGGCTCTTTGGGGCTTATTAGCAACTGTCACAAACATCATCAACGTCTGACCTTTCTTAGTTTGTTGAAGCACTGTTTCTGGATTAGACATATCCAATTTGGTCATGTCAATAGAAGGTGGTTTCCGCAAATGTTCTGGTAATTCATCTTCAGGTAAAGGTTCCTCATCTTCTTCCCATTGATCTAATAATCTGTAAAAGAAAATTTAAAATGTAAACGATTCTCTAGGGAATCTTAATAAATTCTTTTATTTTGCAACGCTAACACTGACTACGTTTATTTACCGTTCCATATCAGCGTCGGTAAAATCGCGAATATCTTTCTTCGCCCATGCCGGTTTCTCTTCATCGTTGAATTTTTTAGACAATATACAAACACTATACAGAACTATTAGACACAAAGACTTATTCATGGTTTCTTTATTAATTAAATCTGTTCTAAATAATAAATATTAAAAACTTGTTGTTTCTTTATTTCAGAAAGCAGTAAAACAGACTTACGAATTTCCAACTATGATCATCTCACACTCACAGTGTGATCTGTTAAGAAATGTCATTGCGAAATGTCAAATTATCTTGACACATTGAATTCTCCAGAAGTGACGAATAGTGCGCGAGCTCAGCGAGTAGTTTTTTTATTATACTGTCAAGTGTCAATTGATACGTTGTGTATTCGTGGCTGTCAGTGACTGCAGCTGAACTTTCACCTTAGACTTTTAGCTTGTCTTCTGTCAGACTGTCAGTTCTTGCGCCGCCGCTGACCATTAATCGTGTTTGTACGCGATGAGCATATTTGAATTTTGTAAAGAAAATTATTAGGATTTTTAATTGAATTTTTTACTTTGATTAAATTAAAAGATTTGTTATTAATACACGGAAAAGAAAATACTTCTTGTTTTCTGTCCGCTTTCTAAATTTCAAGTCTCTTCGTTACGGTCAAGTGATTGAAGGTGTTATATCATATTTTAGTATTGTTTATTGGACACAATGGACCAAAGCAGTATAACTCCTAACACATCTAATCAGCAGCTGGTGATAAATGGAGACAATGATTCTGCCACTGCGCTTCTTCAGGAGAAGCAGGCTAGAAGACGTGAAACTTTAAGTGATGTTACTTTAAAAGAATTCATGACTGTTGGGATCCTGTGCTTCGTTAACCTCATCAATTACATGGACAGATTCACGATAGCAGGTTAGTGTTTTTTTTCTAATTGGATCTAATTATTGTAGAAATACCCATTGAGAAAAGGTAGAGGTTGCTGGTTTAAAAGTGCAAGATTTAGTACATTTTTAACTTTTCTTATTAGAGTAATCCAATAAAGTAGTGTGTAATAGGCAAGTATATACCATATATAATTTTTACTTCCAAGGATAAAATGATAAAGTATATAACAAGTTGTATCAAACAAGCTGTAACTTTTAAGATAAATCCTGATTAAGTTAGTTCTTTTGAATATTAGAAAAGTTGTCATATTGTATTATAGTAGGCTTCTTAAGTATTATAAAAATATATTAGATAATCACTTTTTATTAGATGGACTTTTTATAGATCTATTAGATGTTGCATTCCATCTTAGTTATTTTAAAATAAAAAACTTTAAAATTAGTAATCTAATATACAATAATGTCTATCATATCTAGAAATCTTAGTAATTATTTATAAACTATGCAAAAAGTTAGCTTTGTTAATTAATTACCATAATCGTGCCATTTTAATATAATGCCCAATTCATATTATTTAGATTTTGATTTCATTTAAAACTGCTTTTAATTTTAATGTAAAAATATTTATTTAAAGTATTACTAGGTTAGGTTGTCAGAGATAGTTTTTATGTTTTTATTCTTCAGGGTACCTAGACCTTATTACTTTTTTGATTTATTTCAATTTCTTTTTTCATTGATTTATGTTACTGTTTCTTGGACCAACCCTATCAGAAATATGAGTTATATTTCATATCTGTTGATAAAAGTTTGATGTTTTGTAATTTCAACCATACATTGCAATACAGGACCAGGGCATACTTGGATCTTCATTTCCATTTTTTTTTCTTAATTTATTCTACAGCCTGCAAAATATACACATTAAATGAATTATAGATTATTCCTATATTTGAAAAATATTAATCAAATTATTAAGTCAGTCATTATACTATGATACCAATGTACAACAGTTTACATACCATAAAGTTGTGTTAGTAGAAAATATTTTTATAAGGCATAATGGTAATTATAATTAATACAATATTTCTTTTATTTACCACTCTAAATATCATACAAACTTCACTCCCAGAAGTTAGAAATAATTTTATATAGGTATACCCTGTCCGTGAAGCTACGTTTACAATGACGGTGGTTGGCGTAAGTAATAGCAAAAACATGAAATATGTATAACTTATTACTATATACTTATCTTAAATAATATAATATATTTAAGAAAATTATGTAGACCTTTATTGCAAACATTGCAATAGGCAAAGTGTGACTTAAATTCAATATTCCTGAAGCGACTAAAGTTTTACATAACTCATAATTATTGTGAAGCGTTTGAATCTGTTAATGTGGTCATAGACTAATCAATGCCTGGGAGAACCCACCTTATTATCGCGTGATCGGGCGACGACGTCAATGAATCAGACCATTACTTGACTATAATCGATAAAGCTTTTAACGTAATGATATGAACGGCGTTTTACTAATTCTTAGTACCGATTTTATCTATGCATGTTTCTTGCCATGCATGAATAGTTTAGAGACACGAAACACTTTAGACTTGGATTTGATTGGTTTAATATGCAGTAACGTACCATATTTAAATGTGTCCTTTTCGGTATTAGCTGGTGCTTCTTTTACTGCGTAGTTTAAGATAAATGGGTACATATGCCAAAGTTCTAGGTAACTTAGTAAAACGTTGTACGTTATATGTGCAGCATATATTACTTGCAATCTTTACAAGCAGGCAATTTTTTCATAATATATTAGCTTTCATTACGAAATGTTCCTTGGGATGTAATGTAAATACTTCCCATAATTTAGTATTAAATTAACATGCACGTGTTTTTTCCAATACTGTAACGTCTCTGCGGTAGGCACATTTTTGATTATTGAACACCCAAGAAGGGTCGTCGTCACGTATCCCGACGAGTAATCTCTTGTCAAATCACGCGTAGGCTCCACGCAACAATGTTCCCTTTAAATATGTATATCGGTATTGTCCTTATAAGAGGTGATTTATAAACCTGTTTGTGGTATAAAACGGTACCCCCAAGTGCAAGATAAATATTGAGCGGTGTCGTTTGTATAAACACCATTATGTGAAGTGCTTTCGATTTCCCTATGGATGTTTGGTAATGGCAGGGACAGATGTGGGACTTTAATACAAAACGGAGCGTTTTATCAAACAATTTAATTTCCATGTAAAGTTTTAAATATAGTTTATGTGCGTGACTTTCCGAAGCAACGCTGAGTTTACACGCAGTTGGTCAGAAAGTTAGTTTAACAAGTAAACTGAACTATGAAACTTGTAAACCTTCGCTTTTTAATATAACCGTGGCAATGTATAACGCATATTACACGTTTAATTGAAATAGGACCTTAAACTAATTGAACAAAGTTTAATTTTCTATGACGTACGTAAACGCGATTGTTTTATCAACTACGCGAAATTCTTAAGAATTCGGAATGACCATGTCTATTTTGTACCTAGCAGTAGAAGCATGGAGCTCGTCAACAATTTAGTTTTGGAATAGTTAAATAATAAGATGAATAAGTTTCCTAGCTTTGGAGTCGTTTAGAATGCAAAATTATTTCTTAAATATTGTGAAGTGAAATGTGAAGTGAGGTTCATGTTTTATAATCTTCATACTTTAACTTAACATTCCACTGTGATCTAGATACCATTGTCTTAATCTTTCATACTTTCAAATGACTAATAACGAAAGAAATATTTTTAATACAATAGTGGGTTATCAATGGTAATAGCTCGTTGCTTTGTAATACAATCTAGTTTTATCATTTGTTACGTAGGTCAGGGCCATGATTCACGTATGATTCGAAGATGACTACGACAGCACGTTTGCCTTGGTAAGACTGCGCATACATATTTGATGAGATAGTAGACACATTTGTTTAAATATAATTGTTGACTTAACGTTGCGTAAGGAACTTTACGTCGTCTTTAAACACGTAATTTGAAGAAGTTTTGAAGTGTTGGAGGGGAAAAAAACGGCGAGCTATCCGCAGTTTTCCGCACAATATTTTAGTTATAAATATAATAAGCACCTACTTTTAACTCAGACGGCAATCTACAATGAAGGTTTATCTATATTTGATGATTTTTTATGGAGCAAGGGAACTTCAAAAGGGCTTTAAATTTTAAGTATCGGCCCAAGATGCGTTCAACTGAGAAATGTCTTTGAGCTTTGATCTTTCGAGGAACTACTTTTTATCTTAATCGATTAAAATTAGATATACTATTATTAGTTTGTAGTCGGATGACTCCCGGATGAACTCTGTTGAAAGGCTTGTTATAAAAACAATTCTTAGTATCAAAACGGAAATATTGGAGTAACGCTTTTGCATTAGGTTAGATTAGAAAGATGTTTTGTTGAACAAACAACAAATGTGTAAAAGTTTAGTTGCAAACAAACGGAATTAAAAAAAATGTTCTCATGTTTAACAAACATTAGAAAAACAGTTAAATGTACCTATAGAGTATAGACGATAAGTTTTAATGATGTTTCAAAACTAACATTTTTAACATGTAGAAACATGTTAAAAATGTTAGTTTCTAGTTAAATATAGTTAAAAATAGTTAAATCTAATCATAGATTTAAGAATAATCCTTACTTTAAAGCTGTTGTCAGTTTTAGGTATTCTAACAATTATTCCAAGGTTAAACAAGTTTTGGAAATGTGTTTTGAGATTTGTTGCATATGCGAGACGTGATCTGTGTTTTAAGATAACTTAAGGTGTTTGACTTTTAGCCTCGTAGTCTTAACGTAAATATGTAAAATGTGAAATTTAAAATGTTTTATAACGACATATAAATATGTTAAATACTAAATAAATATAATATGTTTTGCGTAATGCAAGAATTTATTTTATAAATTTAGTGAACTTGTGAAAAAATTTTGCAAATTGAGATAATTGTGACTATTTTACACGTTAACAGGTAATTTTGTTTTATTTAAATATATTAATATTAAACTTAAACTATAAATATTTTATTATATAATAAATACATTTGTATAATAATTGTAATGATCCTACTACGAAACTATTTAAGTCCCTGAAGGTTCTCAGACCCGAGTAGGTACTTCAAAGAATGTACAGGCGATCATTTGTAAAAAAAAGTGTATGTACACGCGTTAGAGGTTATACTTCTTTGGCGTAACAAGATAAAAATCTTTTAAAAAAATGTTATCTCTCACCTTATTCTACGTTTGTAGAAAAAAAATACTCATCATTTTTCTCTAACGTGCCAAAAAAAGTATAACTTTAAAAATCTAAAATGTTGACTATAGCTTACTTCAGAGTGTCGGTTTTTTGTCCGCCCGCATCGTAAAAATTTACTCTCATCATTTTTCCCTAACGCGCTCCTTCAAAAATTAAATAATTTCTCTTCAGCTATCGACTGATGATTAAAATTATCTGCTATCAAAATATAATTGACGAATATATATAGAAACTCGCCATAAAATGTTGCCCGTTCGAGCACTTGAAAATATGAGTGGCGTACTTTGAACGCAGCTGAGCAGTGAGCACATGCTAACGACGGTAAATCCTTTTAATTCGTAAATATCCTGGAAGCCAGCGTACTACCAATTAGAGTTCTATGTCCATATCCATTCCTATTCAAGCACTTAGGTATGTATACCGAAATATTTCTCAAACATAACTTAAAAACGAGAATAAAGTTAAAATTTGTTACCATGGTTACCATTCGTAACAAACATTTCCTGTTCTATAATCTGTCAAATTCTTTAAAAGTGTGACATAACAGTGTGAAAAACTGAGTGTGACGTAATTTTTACTAATGTAATTGTGAGAAATGTTGGATAGTAAATTTAATTGGAAATGCTCGAAAGTGGCATGAAAAGTGCCCGTGTTTGCAAACATTTTGTCAACAACAATGTAAAATGCTATACTTGACAACTTGTCAGTTTCAGTCTGAATACTGTATGATTCATTTTATGACT